GGAGAGTGTCGGAGGAGGGAGGGTGTCGGAGGAGGGAGGGTGTCGGAGGAGGGAGGGTGGCTTTCGGAGAAGGATGGCTGTCGGAGGAGGGAGGGCGTCGGAGGAAGGAGGGCGTCGGAGGGGAAGAGATCTAAGATGGTCGGATGATCAGAATTCGCCGAGTCGGAATATGGGGGGTCCAAGGGCCAGGGCTTGATGGCCGAAGGGCACGAGCGAGACCCACCTGCTCCCTCGGTGGCGAAGAGTAGCACGCTGGAGGGCTTGCTCCAGCCGTAGGTGTTGCGCGACAGGAGCGTGGCCTCATAGACGGTGGCGGCCGCAAGCCCCGACAGCGTGTACGCTTTGGAGTGCAGCTGGCCCGGCGCGAACAGCCCCACGTCCGCCGGGATCACCAGCTCGGCCCAAGGGCCCTGCTGGCTGCTCTATAGGGAAGCAAACAACACAAAGGAAACTGGTGGGTTGAAAACTCTTTGGAAGAACTCAGGCCGATAGAGTTAGCCGAACATATGAAGAGGGACAGAAGATAAGAGTGTCATTTAAAATAGTGTGTTTTTAGATTTATCTACGCCAAACGAGTTGTGGCGACCGCAAACAACATCACATAATTTTTTTTTAATTTGACGAGTTCTGTTAGCAGTATTAAACTTTTTTCAATTGCTTGTAATTACAAATCTCGCGCTAATTCCGCTAGTGGAAGGCATCCGTCGCCTATTACACCTTACTGTACTTGAAAACTTTAAAGCGTTCGGAAATTAGAAGCACTCTTGTCGCCAGGTGTGCAGAACGGATTTTGTTTTTACAGTCTGTACTACCGATCGCGAGTCGTGGCTGCGAACACTGCAGGGATATGCGCGTACCTTCTGTAAAGATACGAAAAGTGAGCCCGACCGGAACGTCTGCCGAATGCTTGAGCGGCATGAGCGGAGGCCGCGTTCCGGTGCAACTAACGTAAATCGCAACGCCGAAGTAGAGAACGCACTCGTGCACAATCGACAAAGAGAAATAATAAATGGAATTTTGAAATATTGGACTAAATGGAGTAAATGGAACGAATGAATGGAAAATGCGCACGCTGTCAAGGTGTTTAGATGATAATGACAGTACCCTTCATTGCATCGGAATGAGTCATTTTATTTATTGTAAGAAACTTTTTAATTAGATATAATAATGAAACAGAATCTTCTCTGATTACGTATGCAGACAGAATAATAATGCAAATCGATAAGGTAAAATGTACTTATAACACGCATAATAAAATATTGTTATAAAAGTTTATTTTAAAATAAATATTCCTAAAATTCTTTTTTCGCAATTTGTCTGTCTGTCTGTATGTATGTATTTGATAAGCGAGTCAGTACTTTCGCTCATTTTAAAACTAATATTTTGATTTTAAATCCAACATTGTTAATTTGATTCATCCGTACATTAGTTTTTGAACATTTTGGAATTCATTATACAAGTGTTGTTACAAACAAATATTTTGAAGGTGTATTCTACAGCTATGTAGGTATATAAATACTTATGTAGGTCTATTATGAGATTGAGCATATAAATACTTGCACCTTACTTTGGCCGCGTTCTTGCTTATTTACAGTTTTTTTTAATTGTTTTGAATTTTCCGAAGGATGTATGAAATCATCGGCTGTGATAGCTCGCCGTTTTTTAATTTGTTCCGTCTATATCGGAACGCGTCTCCAAACTCCGTTAGAAGCCTTTAAAGCACTGGAGTAATCTTGCGTTAAGTGTCCTCTAGGGCTGAATTGTCAAGTCACGTCAGTCATAGTGAAGTCAGGGAATCGCCCACAGGCAGCGTCTTTGCGCTCGTAATTGCCGTTGCCCCTGCAACATTATTTACTTAGAAGTCCTCTTGTTCGAGTCTGGAAGGTGACGGATTTTCCAAGCTAACTACGTGTCTGAATGGAAGTCAGCAGCTTGCTAGAGAATTCTAACGGCCGGCTGCTCTGATCGGTAGTTTTCTGTAGTTTTTCTGATTTATACTAGGCGAGTGCAGGAGTAGTTCCCTAGCAAACGAGCCACAGACGTATGAGAACTTCTTTGTCCCCTCCTTTCCCCTTAAACATCCACATGTCGGCAGCTGAGTGGCAAACAATATTATCATCTTTATAATACAGATGTATTTTGTCTAGGAAAGCAACACATTGTGCAAGTTACATAGTAGCTAATATAACTAAAAATGCAAACAATGTTGAAACGAAATTAAGTTAGCAAACTATGTTCAAACGCATTTATTTTGCTTTTGAAGGTCAGTTATAAAAGTGTACCATTAATAATTAACTTTTGATTTCGCAATTGCACAGCTTTTTCAATCATGATTAAGAACTGCTTCAGAAACTAGTTTTATAGACTCATCCAATGCAACTTCATCACCAGTATTACGAAACAGTCTAATTTTATAGTCGCACGTTCTGAACAGATCTAGAATCCTGTATTCCTTTGTGTATCCTGTTCCCTTCATTCCGCAATGATGCTTTGAAAATACTAGAAATCATAGACATAAAAGGCATATTTTGTTATGTGTTAAAAGTTAAAATACGGCATGTTTTAAACTTACATTACAAGGCGGACATATTCGTCGAACCACCCTATAATACTACTGTAATTGACACCGCCATTGGGGATTGTGGTGTTTTCAAAAAAAAAGATATCGACACACATAAACATTTAAATCAGGTAAAAGAAGCAAATATGGCCAGTGCAGGTAATATGGCCAAGTAGCGGCCATGTTGTTAGGTGGAACTATTTCCGATTCATAGTGCTATTATGCTGTCTGGGAGAGAATAAGAAGTGCGTTTACACCTTACCAGGCTTGTTGACTCGCGCAATCGCACTTCATTGTTTAAAACGCGCTGAAGGCGCTCTGTTCTTATAACTACTTTCCAGATAAGTTTATCGTTAGTTCCACTTAAAGAAGTATTTAGTATTTTGACAATGTAGATCAACTTTTGGAGCATTTAATGAGGAATCTAATCAGACTGCTCTCATTATGGCCAAGAGTGAAGGGCCAGCTTATTACCAGAACTTACAGCAGTATTAACTTCGTGAGTTTGGTGTTTATTTATGTTTTTGTGATTTATTTTCTAGAACATGAATCCTGCAAAGAAAAGAGGTATTTGGTGCCAAACTAATATCAAAAACAAAGTCAGCAATCAACTCTCGCACTATTGTTTTAAAAAAATAATTTATTTCAGTTTGTAAAATTATATTGTAAGAGGGTAATGTATATTTTATTTAGTATTGCTAGCTGTAGTTTCACAGTCATGCTATTAAAAACCAATTAATCTGGCAAAGGCCGTAAAACCTGCATTTGGGAATATTACCTTCACATTAGGTTTTTTTAAAACAACAAACTATTCCTGAATCACGTTTTTTGGGATGTAGCTATTTTAACGTGAAGCAAAAGTTAAATTTCATCATTATGTTGTTAATTTCTCCGAATGTTGAGATATATAAGCGGTAAAATTGTAAGCGCTTAACGTGGCAATTTACCTTCACATACCTTAGAAGGAAATATTTATCGTGGTGACATCGCGGAGATACAGAGCAATTGAATTGCAGTGATCTTTGCAACACAAATGTTGTAACATTTAGTTTTAGGTTTTGAATTTTACATATTCTTATTAATAATTACTTACATTGTATTTTCGGAAGAGTAACCTGTACTCTATGATGGGAGACAGACTTTCCACTTCCCATATGAGAGTGAAGTTGTCCTCGGGAACCACTTGTGATTCAGTTTTAAAAACAGCTGGGTATGCTACTCCTGTAAAATGAGTGAGAGGTTACCCTTAATTAATTCATATATTAATTAACTTGTTTAAAGAGTACATGGAGACAATCTTATTTGGAGGAAAGTCTTGCATTTTAAAAAAGTTAAGTTTTGTGGACGGGGGGGGAGTAGAATAGCGTTTGGAAAAATCAAAATATATTTTGCATATTTTGAGAGATTTCGAATGCGACAAAGTAGGTCTTGTAGGCCGGTCGTTTGCCGGCTTTGTAAGTCACGCAAAAGAAATGTAATCAGAGGGGTCTGCCACACTTTCCTTCTACAAACTCGCCATCTTAAAACTGAGTTTGAAGTGTTGTTCTTGACCTCGGTGGTACTCCGTATGCTCGAGATAGCCCTGTTCGAAGGCGATTGTTTTGAACAGGCCTGATTTAAGTCGCATTTACTAATCTTGCGACTGCAGAAGAATGGGAAGGAGACTAAGGGTGGCATAGTCTAAGTTAAGAGTACTCATACCTGAGAGGTGGATGATTTCCTGACCCGAGCCGAGCCTGTTGGTAGCCCTGCAAGTGTAATGGCCGAAATCTGACTTGACGAGTTTGCGGAACACGAGGCTGTGCCGCTGGTCGTGTGAGAAGCTGAACACGCGGGTGTCCAACGTGAAGTTGTGCCCGTCCTTCAGCCACGTCACCTGCGCCAAGGAATCTGGTCGGAAAATAGATGGGACAACATTTGCACATGGGAGTGAAGTGACACGATTTGCGAGTAGATAGGATTGGATTATTCATTGTCGGTCAATGTCACTGTGTTGCTAATGAAAACATCAGATGTATGTTTTTTGTAATTTAATTTTTTTTAAAATTTTGTACAGTGAACATCTGAGAATTTAAAAATTGCAGTGAAATTAAAATACCAATAATTAAATATAATAATTGTGTGCTGGTATTGCATTTTCAACATGTTCAAAGAAGTATTCGCGTAATTGTTTCGTGTTATTATCTGGAATCTTCCTTAAAGATTGCATAATTCTGTTACAAGGAGATGGTTTTCAGGTGATAAACAGGAAAGAAGACGACGTTTCATACATCTGTGCTTGTTGCATAAAGGATATATTCCAATTAACAGTTTTGAAAAAACATTTTTTTACTTTTCTTTTTACTGTTATACATTTTTGTTGTTTTTTAAATCTGTCTCAACCAGATGTCGACACATGTAGTGTAGTGTAGCCCTTGAACAGTCCACTGAATTTCCAGATATGCATGAACGTCTTTTTATTGAAACATGCACGTATTTTTTTCTCTTATATTAAAACTCCACAAATGAATAACTGTATGTAAAAATGACCTAGAACTTAGCATTGTATACACACAAATAAATCTCACATTTGTACGCACCTACGACAAATTTAATTTTTGCTATATTGAGACAAAACCTCTTTTACGCAGCAAACATAGAAATATTAATATGATTAGAAAATTTCACTTTTGCCTCGACATTTTAACCAGGAATAATAGTTTTGCTCTTTTTATTTTCGTAGTAGAAGTAAACACAATCTACCTTGGCCTCAGGGTGTGCGATGACGTTGCAGGCCAGCTCTACTCGGTTGTCTGGAGAAGCATGCACCCATCTACGATCAGTCTTGACTTCTGGAGGAACTGAAAATAAGTGAGAAACATTGATCGTAAAACTCTTCTGGTTTTGGAGATTGTATTGGAAAATGAGTAATAGCATAGACTATCCCACGTTCATTATGACTTCTGTATTAATTCGTAAAGATTAGTTTATTTTTAGGTACTACACAGTAAATGGTTTCTATTTCTCTCTGTGTGGGAGGTTTTATAAAATGGTAGCAGTTTGCTTAATAACCGCATTTTAAAACCTGCTAGATATTGGGCGAAGCGAGCATTAGAGAGAGAGGGAGGCTGCGCTACTCACAGAGCACGGTGACCTCGATGTCGGCGGTGGCGGATTCGCCGACGCCGTTGCTGGCGTAGCAGGTGTAGGTGCCGGCTTGCGAGCGGTTCTCCACGGTGAAGCGCAGGCGCGGCCGGTGGTCCAGCAGCAGCATCTCATCGCCCTGCGCACGCGCACGCGCATCAGTGAGACGCCTCCGGCTCAGAGAGCGCACTGACAGGGCGACAAAAGCTTTGGGGGCGGCGCCACACACTGGGGCCAGAGAGGGCGAAGTGTTGGCAAAAAAGATTTTTACAAGTTTTTCGGGATTTTTGGAAATAAAAAAAACACATTTTATAATTAAATGATGACTTATTCAATTGTTTAGCCTTTAAATATTTTAATTATATAATCTCAGAATCAGAACTTTCATCGTGTGACTCTTATTCCAGAAGTGAATTTCTACTTGAAGACATTTACAGTGGTGTAACTTTTAGGTCAAATGCTTTTGTTAAAATTTTTGTCTATTGCATTTCTGATATCAGTGGGACAGATGAAATTAATAGCCTGCGAAGCACTTGCTTGTTAGTTTGCTCTCGGGATATTTTTCTGGTGGAACTTTCTCTATATTTTTTCTTCGTTTTTTTCTTTTCAATGTGTGAAATAACATCACACATATACCTCCTTGTTAATAAAGAACTCTCGATACCTGATTATGAGCGAAGAATAAACAAATGAATATTGTAGGTAGAAATGCTATTGAATTGAGCAACAGACAGCCTTCATAGAGCTTATTGCGTGCATTTTTCATTCCTGCCTGAGATATGACAATATTGACCTTGAGTCGATATAAAACAAATAACAGACGCGATTGAACTTCGTAAACCGAGGTTCCTGTATTTACCAAGTCCGTTATTTGCGCTCCGTGTGCATTGTGTTGGCTGTGTCTCGTTCAATACTTTTCGCAAAACTATCTTCTTACAAGAAAAATGTTAATAATAAGCAGTTAATTTTTCTTGAATAAGAGTATCCGTTCGCATTTTCAGATTTAACTCCTTTGTTCGGATTGTTCTTAACAGGCAGCGGACTGTTAATTTTCTTAACGAACGTTGGCCATTAAGAGTAACTTTTCATCCTCCTTTTTTGCGTTATATCGATGTATAAGAGAACTCTATTACGAAAAATCATGGATTCATGTTCTATCTTGGTCATGAGTGTAATTGCACGTTTCCGCGCTGTCAGCTTTGTAATATGACCGAAAAATTTCTGTTGATCTCAAGACGTTAAAACTCGCTGTTGTACGTCAGGGTAGTTAATAGGAAAGGCAGATCAACGTATCCTAAGAGAAATAAAAAACATTCCTTCTACTAGCAGGATTGGGTCCAAAGGTTATTTGGGTATCTTGTTGCTAAGCACATTTCTCTACATGATAAGAAGGATGTTTTCTCATTTATAGAAATGAAATTTTCTTTGAATCAAATTTAGTGTCATCCAAAACTTTCGTTAGTACAACATAACACCAATATTACCGTATTTCAAGAAGAGTTGACAAATTTAGAAAAAAATGAAAGAATATTTTAAACAAACTGCGTTATATAGAAAAAAATCTCTATTATGTAACATGTAGGTTTCTTTAGCGTGACATAAAACGTTCTAGGTTATCTGATAAAGAACTGGAAGAAACTGGACCAAGAAAACATATTTCGTAAATTTAATCAGGTCATGTTCAGTTCGCTCTCCTAACGAACCGAATGGTTTTTGACCTTTCTCTTCGAGAGTCATTTAATTTTTTACTTCAGTCATTGACCTACGTGCAAGGGTTGGTTGGACATTGTTTGATGAGCTATCGTTTGCTTAAGGCCGAGACGTCAGTTAAAGACTCAGTCTAAATTGCTGAATGCGCCTTCTAATAGAGCTCGGCAATTTGCAGCGAACAAGAACTGAAATAGGCTATTATAGAACCATTGGCAGTTTAAAGGGTATAGTTCATATTAGGAATGTAATTTGTTCGACTTATGTATTGTTTAAAAAAGATGAGTGTTCGGGCACCTACTTGAAGGCAAATACTATGTAGACAATACAGGACACTTTGAACATTTCTCATTGCTCCCTAGCGACCCAAGTGATGTGACCTTGAAAATCGGCGCTCATTCATATTTTAATACATATACAATAACTTTCGAATCACTCTGCGAAACGTAAGTAGACATAATCGTAGGAAAACTAAAAATCTTTCAAACTTATACACTTCGTCCTTGTTATCACAATAGTTGTGATAATTCGGGTCACTAAGGTCGCTAGCTTCAAGTGTTTCCAATTATATCGTTGAGTGTCATCTATTGTCTCTACAGTATTTGTTAAGGATTAGAAGCACCCTACATTTAGTGTGTCTGCCGAAGAAACAATTAAACAGTAACGGCGCCAGAAAAGTTTCCAAGAGAGATAACGCAACTAATAAAACGCCAAAGATCAGAAATACGTTTGATGAATTAACTAACCTACTCTTACGTTCCGCAAAATCGTAGAAAATGTATTGTTATACTTTGTAATGAATTTGTTGAATTGAGATATGGTCGTCCGCACAAGCATAAAATATGAACTGACAAATATGAACAATGAAATGCAACCATTGTCCATATATGTAACAAAGTCAAACTACTTATCGAATTAATTACTCCAATGTCTAAATAAATTTTTAATCTCTTTTCTATAGTTTCACGAAAGATTGCAAGAATTTGTATTGCTTTGTTAGACGGATTTCACGAAATAAGCTAGATTTTTAAAGCACGTGATGAATTATGACTTTCTAAAAGTATGAATGAACAAAAATGAATTCGTAATCCATCTTAATCGTGGCGAACCGGTAGGGAAGCTAGCTTTCTCTGGCAAGAGACGTCGACTCTCCCGTTTCTCCTTTTTCTCATTCCGCCATATCATATCATAAAGATTAGGCACTGGCATCATTGTATAAATAAAGGTTCAATCCGAATCGCTGAGGTATATCTCTCAACATATCAGAAATACTACACTCGGACTACAAGTTTGAGACATTTTGGCAGAGAAGAGTGGAAAACTTTGACACTTTCCTTAACGTAATTTACCTTATATATATATATATATATATATATATATATATATAGTGTATTTTCTACACGATATTTATGTTTACTGATCGTGAGCTCTATCTACCACGATGTGGTCTGCGGTCAACTCCAATGCCTTTAAGTACATAAATATGAAGGCCCAACTTCACCTGTTCTTCAATAGCCACAATCACGCTGCCTAACCTCAATGTATTACCTTATAAAACCACGTTACTATGGGCCGAGGCACTCCTGAAACTTCGCACGCCATCTGCAGCTCATCGCCCAGCGCCACTTCCAACTCGCCTGACTCTGGAATGGGCAGCACGGCGGGTGGATCTGCAACAGGATTTAACCGTAGTGATTTAACCCTACAAACATTACCATGAAAGAAGATAGCTTCGATTACTGCAATATTCAACGCCGTTCTCAGAACAAGTCAGTTCCAATCACATTGGAAAATACATTCTCAAACATGGTAAACTACCACACGAAACCAAATCTTATCACTCTACTGGCTTACTGCTGACACTGCCAAATGAATTCGAAAAGAGTCTCTTACGGCCTCATACCATGCTTTCAGAAATGTAATAGATACTCGAAAAATATCATTTTGGATTTATGGTTAGTCATTCTAATGTGGAACAATGTTCATGAATTGTTAACATTTCATTGAAGACTTTTAAGAAGAAGAGGTTTAGGACTACTCTGTAAAGTCAAGACTATTATCCTCCATTGATTTTACTCCACAATAAAAACGTACGTAACGGAGCCGAAACAATACATTTGTTCCGTCCAATCTTCGACAATATCTCTGGTCTCCAAGGAAGATGACGTTAGAGGTGAAAATTATGTTTGACTACAAATTTCAGGCGCGCTAACTGCTTGTGTCATTAATCCCGCAAGTGTAGTGCATACCATTTCCCTGGTGTTCCTTCCTCACTGGATTTCCAACGCCGACCTTTCGGTCAGCTTTCGAGTTTTCCCACTTCACGAATCTCCCCCTAGTGGGGTACCGCTCCAGCTGAGAGAAGCTCTAGAGTTCTCGATAGATCACCGGAGGATCTGGTAGTGGTTTTCATGTAAATGTGTGCGTGTATGTGAATGCGTGTGTGTGAGGAGTCATGGCACGTGGTTCCGTTTGTTGCGGTTCTGCCTCGGCATTCACCTGGTATTGATCGGGGACACCGCGCAAAGCTACCAATCAGAGCAGCCGCTTCTAGATTTCTCCTCTAACCAGTGGTCAAATTCGACTTGGAGATGCAACCAAGTGTCGAAAATCCACCTCTGTTGAGACTCAAACCAAAGAACACCCAGAACTATCGCATCCGGTGGCACAGCCAAGAGAAAAGGAAAAATAATGTTTTGTGCGCACACAACTCGCAAAGAAGGTGTCTACCCACAGATGACTTCGATGGCGTGCTTCTGCTGGATGGGGCCCCAGGGCTGGGGCCGCAGCACCTGGCAGGTGTAGTCGCCGGTGTCCTCGGGCCGCAAGTCGGACACCTGCAGCGTGTTGTTGGGCCACAGCTTCATGCGCGGAGGCAGCTCCAGGCTGCGGTTGGACGAATCCGCCACCAGCCGCTCGTTCCACCACCACCGCACCACGTTGGTGCCTGGAAAGTACGCAGTTGCGTCGACGATCGAACTTCGATAAATCACCACTCAAAGAAGAGCTATGATTGTAGCTGGGGCAATCAAATAATTAAGATCGAAAACAAAGGAACTAACGAATAAATAGGTTTGTTTAAGAATAATTAGATGGATGTGTTGCACCCGTGTAAAATGCTCATTAAGATAGCATAGCCTGTCAAACATATGAAAATAGAAAGTGTTGAGAGCGCTAATTAAAGACCAGAGTAAGGAAAAGTGAATAATTTAGGAGACAAATGTCTGCAATAGAATTATTTTAATTTGTTTGGTATCGCTGCATAGAAAGCTGAGCAACGAATGAATCACACGAAACTAAAAGGAAAAAAACATAGATTTGGAAATTGGGAATATTTGGAAAGTATTGAAGGTCGGGCAGTTGGATAATAGGAGAAAAGTGGATGAAAAGGTCGAAGCACGAAGGAAATGGAGATTTTCTGATGCAAGCCAAGGCAGTACAGAATCCGCAATATCATATTTCAATAAACGTTCATGTGGGAAGTGAGTTGTTTCAAAGGTTTATGTGAAACACTGAACTATTCATTGCTATTTATGATTTTTTGGGGGTCCCAACTATCTAGGAGCACGGAGCAAGATGCTCTAGCAACGCATTCCTCCCTCTCCACGGCACTGTCCTTAAAGGTGGTCTAATATAGTAGTGAATGTTTAATAACGTGCAGGGTTCTATGATACCAATCTGAGCTGAATGCGCTCACGGGTGGGGCCAAGCCCCTTTATGACCCCTTCCCCTGTACGTCTTTTCTCTTTCACTTAACTTTCCTTTCACTACTATGTATCACATACTCAGTTCTATTAATGTTCGTCCCTAAGCCGCCATCGTGATTGAGGGTTTTCTGGGTTAACTAAATCGCTTAAGGCGTACGCCGGGATGGTCTCTTGTCTTGCATTCTCACACGTAAATGTACAGCTTGTCCCCCATCCCGGCCTCTCTTCTTTCTCTTCCTGTTTTTCCTCTTCATTTTCATTTACGTGTCCTTTCTCTTATTTTTCCTTCTCTTCCACTTTTCTCCGTAAATTGATGATGTTCGGCCCTAAGCCGCCATTCTGATTGAGGTTTTCTGGGTTTACTCAATCGCTTAGGGCGTATACTGGGATGGTCCCTAGATTTGTACTCCCAAACGTAAATGTACAGATTGTCCTCCCCTCGTAAAATGTTACAACTCTATATGTATGTAAATTCAGTGGTTAGGCGGAAGAGTAGGCCCTATGGCTTGAGCCTCGCCATTAATAAAGGCATTATTATTATTATTATTATTATTATTATTATTATTATTATTATTATTATTATTATTATTTAGCCTCTAATATGATTCCAAATCCTCAGATTTGAGGCGATCCGCAACTCATCAGCCGAAGTAGAGTCGAATATACGTTTGAAATTTAGCATAGGCTTGGTCACATTACACCGTCCGTTAATAGAATTACAATATTGAACATGTGCAATCAAAATAGTATTAGTAGCATATTAGGCAACTAGTTTATAAGACGTTTATTGCATGAGTAAATGTTTCGAAAACGAGTAACGTTACAAGCGAGTTTTCAAATTTGTACGAAGGTAATAAAACATTATACACGAGTTTCATTATTAAATTTTTTTATACGACAGCATTATAAATTTATAAGAGAATCGAAGTAAATTTTTGAAAACAAATTTTTTGTGACGTCTCGGGTATTGGACATCTGGGGGAAGAAACGGCGGTCCTCTGTTCGGTTTATCTCACCCCACCCCACAATTGACTGAATGTATGATGACGCGATTTTTTCTGTCATAAACGGCAAATGAGTCGTAATGTTTTCCGTTAGATGTCATTTTATGAACAATTTTTTCTGATGTAAAAGGTCGTTTAAGATGCTGGAAAACAATATATACGTATGTATGTATAACCGTTGCAATTGCAAATCTGATATTAAAAATTTTTGACCAGTACAAAATTTTGTTTTTAACAATTCTGTTTTGTTCAGGAAAATGAAATTATGTCACTTGGCGCCTACTTTGCAGAAGGATGTAAAGTTGAATACATTTGGCAAGATCAACAATTAATGAACGAATATCACAAATACTTCACTGACAAACATTGGACTTTGGGTATATTGTACTCGTAGTAGTGAACTACTTAACTCATCTTTAACTACTTAAAGATGTTGTTTAGTAGTGAACTACTTAACAACATTTTTATTCGTTTTTGACTTAACCCGCTTTTCGTCTCTACCTCGGCATTATTGGAGGCCCTATTGGTTGATTTATTGGTTGGTAATTTTGTTTCCGGGGGAGTCAACTGCTATGGTCATTGGTTATGTGTGTGTGATGCATGTTGCCTCATGTAGGATTGTGCGTTTCGGTGCCGACGCGACTTACACGGAGTACCCTTCTCCAGGTATCTTCGACAGCCAGGACAAGCTCTAAGCTCAGTGCAGTGCATGTAAGTGTGAGTGTAAGGACAAAATAGTGGTCAATGATGAGGAAGAAAGGTCACTGCGGTTAGTAAGCGTTTGTTAAGAAACTGATCAAGCAATCTTCTCGTATTGACAGCAGAAATCCAGGAAAACTACGGATCAGAACAGTCGATCTGTAGAATTCCTCTCCAGACGCCTGAAATCAATCTAGCCATATAGCCAGTATCGAATATCCGCCACCATCAGGAGTCAACCTCTAGGACCTTGCAGTGACAACAATTCTGTGGTCACGAGGTAAAAGTTCTTCAGTCAATTTTTCACGAAATTGGGTTAACTACTGACACTACAGATTAAGTATCTATATTTTATTTAAGTAAAACAATCAAATTCAAAGATTGATTCCTTCAGGCCAAAAATGTGTTGGGGAATACAGCTTCATACCACTCGACAATTGCGGCTCAATAATCTAACCCTTGTTTTCTCTAAATTAGGATGTTTGACTTAAGAAATTTTACCCCGTGGCCACAGAATTATCTTAAGCTACCTCACACGGTGGCAGGGGGAGGGGGAGGAGGAGAATTTTCGTAGTAGGGTTCCTAAACAATGCCGGGGGAAGTACTCACCGAGGTTCTCGACGTAGCAGGGCAGGTGGACTGTGTCGTTCTCAGATGTCTGGACGGTGGTGGGCACGCTGCGGAACTGCGGGTGGCGCGCGCGGCCCACGGCCGTCACTGCAACACAACACAGCGCCAGCGCTGAAGGGAGCGTGCGCCGCCCGCCCACGCGCCGGCGCGCAGCCCGACGCCCGACGCCCCACGCCCCACCCCGACGTCCGTCGCCCGTCGGCACGTCGCCCGTATCGCCCGTCGCCCGTCCCGCCCGTCGCCCGGTCGCCCGTCGCCCGTCGCCCTGTTATCGTTAATTAGTTTAAGACTCAAGTGACGAGTCGTGTAGAAATACTGCGGTGCTTTTCACACAGATCGATTTATTGATATTTAAGTAGACGGGTGTAGTAGCCGTAAGAATGAAATACTTCTAGTAGTGGGGTCGCTTTATTTCGTTTAATGTAGTTATTGTACAATAAGGTTTATTTCGGTGGTGGATTCATAAATAAATAAGCAATAATATTCACCCCCACTCTCGTCTGTGTATTATTTGCGCCCTGCATGACGCCACACATAGTTAGCTTACATTCTGCCACGATAGTTTGGTAACAAAGTCCCAATTACGATCCATCGTGACTGCGATTTAGGTATGGCGACTCATGTCATGTGATTACGCATAGCTAATTCTGTTGAGTTATTGCTTTTCGCTAAGTCAACTGTTAACGTAATTTGGAGTTTGCGCATGTGACTGAGCACCTGCAAAGTGAATTATTTCGTCTAGAAGTGGCTTCAGCGTTGTGCACACATTCTCATTGACAACAGTTTCCTGAAGTGTTATTGGATGTAACAAGTTCAAAAGCATTTACATGGTAATTTTTATTTGGCAATTTACGTAACCGAATGCCAATCGTACGAGAAAGTATGTCGCTGTTAAGCACACGCGTAGTTTTCAAAGCAATGTTTGGCGGTTCTACTAGCCATATTTATGGTAAAATTATATTTATTTAATAGCTCCTATATCATGAAGTAGTTAGTTAGAGGAAAGTACATGTCTTGAAACTAGCTTAGAACGTAATTTTATAAATAATACTAGCGGTATTTTATTAACGTAATTGATTTGATTGAAGATATGGTTTTCCTCGCGCGAGAGGGTTTAACAAGAAGACTGGTTTTCTAGACATAAGTAATGTAGAGGAGGAGAGGATAAATTTACTACCACTTTCTACTTCATTAGAATAGTCGATAATAATTTAAAGTTTTTCGTCATAAAAAGCGTGTATAATTCAAACACTTATCTCAATGAAATATAACATAAAGATCTTTAATCGACGTATATTCTGGTAAAGAGAAATATCATGTAACAAATATATATGTTGGAATATCACTATAACTTTTTAAAATAACTCAATACATTACAATGGCCATTTGTTCATTTTTTTCTGCTCCCATTATACTCTTCTCTTTTTATTACGGATGTGTCAACGTTCTCCCAAAGTTCACTTTCATAAACACAGATTATCTAGGGATTATAACATTTAAAGACCTGAGTTATGACCGCTAAGCGGGGCCATAGAACACACGAGAATATTTAAGAGGATCATGTACCGACCTGGTGCATGGTATGAGTATTTTCAACACGTATTTACTTTGAAATATAATATCGAGCATTGAAAAGAAAAAATCGTCCGCTTGGATTTGGTAATTTGGGTGAAAGCGTAACAGCACGAATTAGAGGATCGTCTGTGGAAATTTTGAATATTGTGAAGCATGTCTTGTTTAATCCGTTCCTTTATATCTGTGCCTTGTGATAGATGTTAAGAAAACCATGTGTTGTATTAAGTTAAGATAAACATATTTGTTAAAACAAGGGATAGAAAGTGATTTTTTAATCATCTTAAATACACATTATATGACGATTGTACGATCGAAAGATGTTAAACATTAAAATCAAATACACAGAAAGTTTAAGTTCAAGTTGAAAATTCATTTTACTCTCTGCTCTTCGTCGAGAAAAGAATAATTGTGTCCTAAAAAATGTAAATAATAATTTGTAATTGGGCTTTTCTAGCTCTTAGTCACTTAATTCATTATTATGTTAAAAACGAAATAAACATCCTGAGTTAGTAAGAAGCATGTTCTAAGATACGATCACCTAGGAAACAGTTCTCTTGCAAATTTTTATGATAATACTTTTTTCGACAACAGTCAGAAACAAATTCTGGGTCATAACCATTAGAAACTTATTTACTATAGTTTTCACGATAAAACGTGCTCTAAATAAAGTCTTCCTAGCCCCATGCAGGAAAGTTTGTGGACATCACCATACAGAAGGCCAGTGGCTACATGCAGTTGACTTTTAAGTGATTCACAGAGGGGGCCGGCAGAAGTGGTAATATCGTTAACATTTGGAACCTACGCCTTTGTCAGAGCGTACAACCGACCTCTTGACACAAGCAGTTAGAGACGCGCCAGGCCAATATCTGCAAAGCTTGAGGACTTGCAGTGAACCCTACAGACAGGCTCACAAGTCCGTTTTAACAAATCCTTTTCTAGACTCAGGCGTGTACTGAGTTAACTCCGAATAGTTACGGTTTCTTGATTGAAATAATAAGACGAAGGCATGAATCATGATTATTTCAAATATTAAAAACTCAGGCGAAGGACATTTTTTAAAGGATCGTAGGCGAGGAATATTGTGGAGTATCTTTAATGCCCATGTATGTACCGTAGGTTTTTTTTATCTTTAATGTGTAAGTTGGAAAGTTGGCCAAGGTGTTATTTCTGACGGAAATTCTCGGCTTAATACAGTGATTTTTAGTAAGAACGTTTTATGTAAGTAACTGAGTGATTTTTCGTCTTAAATTTTGTTTCATCATGTCAAAGGAGTACTGCTTGGGAATTTCAGTAAATTCAATGGCATATTCAAATCAATTTAGTTGGTTCTAGTTGAAATTTCCTTGTTCAAATGTCAATTTACGAAATATAATGAACGTCCATGAAAGCTAGGGTAAGAATAATACATTGTAATGCGAGATGAGAAGAATGTGATATATAGAGATTTTCAGCAGCAATACAATAAATACAGAGACAATGTTAGACAAACATACTTGTATTTAAAATAAATCAAGAGCAGGTAATATCGGCAAGTTTTCAACAAATCTCAGATGAATGATAGAATCCCTGCCTCGCGTGCAGCGCCAGCTTATTGGGAAGGTTCGATTCAGAATGACCGAGAGAGTTTGCTAATGAAGAAACGTTTCAGAATGGCACTTTTGCTTTCTTGCAAAAGCTTTCGGTGAAATGATTCGATCGTCCTCCGCGATGCTCAGCTGGCAGTATTTGGCTCGCAGTTCCACACGGCGTCGCGCCCGTTTTTCAGCGTCTCACTGCTAGGTGACGGAGCAGCCACCACGCCAACAAGACGCCCCCGGGCTTTTCCTTGGGCGCGTAACATGGGACTCGCCAATGGCGCGGCGAGGCGAGGCGCACAGCGCTGGTGCCTGTCCGCGGGAGCACTGTTCCAGCGCAACGGGCCACTGTGCCGCGGGTGAACGCGGAGCTACATCGTCCGGCTCCGCCCGCCCGCGCCTCGCCGCCCAGCGCGAGATGACTGCGACGGGCGGTCCCGATCGTCGTTAGCCGGCTCCCACTTCAGCGGCCTCCAGACGTTTGCACGATCGATTAGAGGGGTGTGTGCTAGGTGAGCCGGTCCTCGCCCGTTGGCTTCTCTCTGTGCATCACTTTGTCACTTCTAGTTCTCTCTGAGACTCTTGCTCGTTCACCTGCCTTTTACGTCCTACTAATTCTTTCGCTGCCATTCTCTGTTCTTCTTTTCCTTCTTTCTATATCTACCTCTTCTCCTTCTCCGGACTCCTCGCTCCTCGTGAGCGGCCTTGGCTTATCCTCTCGGCTCCGCTGCAAGACTCCTTCTTCTTCTTGCTGCTTCTTACTTTCTCCTCCTCTTACTCTCCCTCGACGCCTTCGCCTTACTTTCTTCTCGTCTCCTCCTCTCTCAGGGCTCTCAGCTAGCTGCCTCGCCCGCTTCTTACTTCTCGGGGTCCTCGCTCGGCTCCTCGCTCCGGTCTGTGCCGCCGTACTCGGCCGCTCCTCCTCCTTCTCCTCGTACCGTCCTCCTCGCTGAGCCTCGCTCCTTGAACTCCTCGTACTCCTCCTTCTCTCTTACTCCTCGTGTACTTCTCACTCTTCCTCACGGCGGCTACTCGAACTTCCTCCTCTTCCTCTCTCGTACTCCTAGCTCCCTCTCGGCTCCTTACTCAGACTTGCTCTGGGTCTGCTCCTCTCTGCTTCTACTAGTTCTTAATCCTTACTCATTACTCGTCCCCCTTCCTATCATTCATGCTTCTCTTTTTTCTCTTCTTTCTTTAACTTTCTTGCTTTCTTACTTTTCCTCCTCCTACAGGCGTTTTTCTTGTTTTCACAGATTTCCTTCTTTGTCTACCATGTCCTCTCTTAGGCCTCTAAGCTTCCTTTTTCCTGGTCTTCTTCTCGATGTCATTTCTTTAGTTCCCCGTTCTTGGCTTCCTTCTTTTTTTCTCATTCACCTTCGACGGTTATTATCTTGGTTCATATTCGTCAATGGCTCTTTCTCTCGGGTTTATTTCGTACCTTCGTCGTCTTTCGTCTCCCTTTCTCATTGTTCTTACCGGTTCAACACCATGCTAGGGAGTAATTGGCAATTTCAGTTTCTTACTATTTTTTCTCAAGGGGATGGGGGTCTTCTGAATGTTTATTATGCGCCGGCCCGCACGGTTGTTCCTGATGATAATATTACCCTATTTTACCGAGGTGGTCTGTTTGTGCGGTTGCACGGGGGTGAGTATTTCTTCGATGCTGTCAAACGGGGATTATGTATGTTCTGCTTTCTTTGTTACTGCACTTGCACTCATTTGGCGATCTCGATGTACCTTCTTTAATTTTCCACTTTTTTTCGATGCTCTCTATCTGTGATTCTACGCGATTTTTCTTTTCTTTGACGCATACCTGTTCGGTACAGGGATGATCAATAATAACACCTGCACCTTGCAATCGAATTTGTTGTCGAATTTATGGTACTCATCAAAATCATGGCAAGAAGAACGCTGATTAGTCCACGATCTCGTTGGTCTTTTGCTTCCCACTGCATCATGCTAGCTAACCATTCCCCTCA